TCCAAGTATTTACCATTCATCTTGGACCAAATTGATAACCAACAGAAGAAACAATACCTTTTGCTGCATTCATTAAAGGAGGTGAGTTTTTAGATTTGCCAATCTCCTGAAACTATTTATGATTTCCCACTTTTCCCATTCCTTGCTCACTGAAATTTTCAGGTCATTGCGAGACAATCTTCAGATAAAGCTGGTCAGAACGAGCTTCAGGATTCATATATTGAGAAGATATTGGCTTTGCTTTTTAATCACTGTGAAAGTGAAGAAGAAGGAGTTCGCAATGTGGTAGCTGAGTGTTTGGGCAAGATTGCACTTATTGAACCTAGAAATCTTATTCCTGCTTTAAAGGTATGATTTGGTTGTTTACTTGGAAGATAGTACGGTCATTTGTAATGTGAATATGCAGCTTCTTTCTTGTACTCCTCTAGGTACGCACAAATAGTCCGGCAGCTTTCACTAGAGCGACAGTTGTCATTGCAGTAAAGTATTCCATTGTTGAAAGACCTGAAAAAATTGATGAAATTTTATATCCTGAGATTTCCACATTTCTTATGCTAATTAAAGATAATGATCGAGTAAGCTTCTTACCTTACTCTCAAAATCCATTTGTTACTTTTAGGTTGCTTTATGCTTAGAAAAATTTAAAAATAAGTTCACTTGGCCATGGTTTATTATTATTTTCCTTTGTTTTTCCTACAGCTTGTTAGACGAGCTGCTGTCCTAGCTTTGAGCACTGCTGCACATAACAAGCCAAATCTGATTAAGGGTCTCCTTCCTGAGATGTTACCACTTTTGTATGATCAAACTGTTATTAAGGTGTGGTCTGCTTTGCAATGCGTTCTACAATGCCTAGCATTATTTTCATGCATATGGTGTGCTTTATCTGGATTTTGCAAAATTAGCAAAATTCCTGGTGTGCGTTTGTTTTGTTTAGCCTTAGCTAGCAAAAGTAAGCTGCATTAACTTCTTCTTTCTTTTTATTGGTATATTAAATTCCATTATTTGTTTTTAAATGCAAACATGCATGAGATCTGAGCTTCATGATAAAATCTCATTAACAATTAAATTGTGTGGTTAAATCTCTGTCCTTTATATGACCGCTTTAGGACCATTTAATTAACAGCTGCATTTCAGCTCCTACATTATTTGACTATTTTGCTTGTTTTTGTAATATGTCATGCCTCCAAACTTTTTTAATTATTTATTTGTATGTATAATCTTCCTTGATGATATTGTTACAAAAACTTTTTATCTTTTGTTTCAGCAAGAGTTAATAAGAACAGTGGATCTTGGTCCTTTCAAGTACATTGTTGATGATGGTATTGAGATAAGAAAGGCAGCTTTTGAGTGCGTGGACACGTTACTTGACAGCTGTCTTGATCAAGTGAACCCATCTTCTTTTATAGTTCCTTATCTTATATCTGGTTTGTCGGGTGAGTTTATATATATATTTTTTGGTCACATGTTCCATCGCTTTTATTTGTCCAGACCAAGTTTTTGCTATACAATTTCAATTTTCTTTCCAATGATAGCTGTTGCTAATGAGTTCACGGACCATGGTAATAAGCATTTATCCATGGTCTTTATAGAGAAGCATCTAAATTCGTTTAGATGTGGCTCTGCATCCTATGTAAATCCCTCCCGTTTCTAGCAAGAAACACTTTTTTCCCGTAGATATGAATGCAGCTCTGATGATATTATGCATTATTTATTACTACTTTTGGTTTTATTTCCATGCAAGTTGTATGCTAGAATTTTGTATCCTTCTTATCAAGTTTCCAGAATTGTTGTTTCAGATCTGAATTTTTACTGATATCTTCTATGCTACGTTCAGATCACTATGATGTAAAGATGCCTTGTCATCTCATTTTATCAAAACTTGCAGATAAGTGTCCTGCTGCTGTCCTGGCAGGTTTGTATCTTGAATTTGCAAAACTTAACCATGCAGTTTTTGCGCGCAAGGAATACCTGGTCAAATGATAACTTTCATTGTTTGGCAGTTTTGGATTCATTGGTAGAACCACTTGAAAGGACCATCAAACACAAACCCAAGCTTGATGCTGTGAAGCAAGAAGTAGATCGGAATGAAGATATGATCAGAAGTGCTCTTAGAGCTATTGCATCCCTGAACCGCATAAGGTTACCATACATTTCCAACATTATTTTATTGCCATTAGCCTCATCCAAGATGCTGGTCTAAAAAAGAACTAGTTTCTCCTCACCACTACGTGCCTTTTCACTTGACCTTTTTCTAGTGCATAGTTAAATCTGCACATCTATTTGGAATAAATAGTGAGTTGTTTTGATCTTAAAAGTTACATTTGGAATAAATATCGCTTTAGCATTCACATCAGAATGCTACTGACGTAGTATGTACTACAAGAAAATAGCTTGGTATAATTTGAATCCAAAGAAAGTATAATGATATGATGATGATCAAAGAGACCAAGTGAAAATTCACTAATCAATTGTAAATCTGACATCAATTTGCGCTTGATATCCATGCTGGCATGACCTAAAGAAAAATTTCCAATAATGGTGAAAGAGATTGGTCGACCAAATTTAGAGATCTCAGCATCAATGAAATTAAGCATAGGTTTGTCTTAGGAAAAAGAAGCTTGCTTATGTACATGAGGATCTTTAGCTTGATGAAATATTATTGACAATTGCATGTATATTGAACTTGTCAAACCACCAACCACATTAAACAAAGGAACGAGGTATGAGCAAAAGGCTGAGGAACTTCTGAGATTATCAAAGTGATCGAAGCAGTGGGTGGTGAAGGTGGATTAGAGGGTACCACCGAAATCATAGAAGCTAAAGGCAAAGGAGGTGATTCGATCAACCATAGCAGGGGCGATAGAGGTGGATTAGAGAGACTAGATGGCTGAGTAGAAGTAGATAGTGAATGGAAGGCTGAGATGATCGGCCCAAAAGAGGTGAGAAGATGAGCATAATAGATCTAGAACAAGAAAAAAGATACCATTGATTAGATTGAAGGGTGGAGGTCGGAAAAGTAAACTTGGACCCTTTTTTTATTAATGCAAATATTTGGATGGTTTGTTTATGATGCAGGTCATCATAGGGTCTAGGATTTTCTCTTACAACTAAATAAGAAGATGAATTAGATTGAAGCATGCTTGTAAATTGATTATAAAATATGTACATAAATAATATACAAAATTACACGCATGATCAAATTTTTTGGAATTTACAATAGAAAAACACTGGTTGATTTTATTATTGTGAATTTTGATATGAGTTATAATTAAAAAAATAGAACAGGAATAATATTAGTTTTATAAATAATCAAGATTTAAGCATTATATATGAAATTGCTTCTAATTATTATTATTATTTTTTGTCTACAGTGGATGTGACTGCAGCCTAAAGTTTAAGATACTAATTAACAACATAACAAATTCACCAGCACTTGCTGAGAAGTACAATTCGGTGCGGTCCGAGTGACCGAACGAGTCAAATATAGTACATTAAATATGCTGCAAGTCTGCTTTTCCCTCAGTTTTAGCTGATGATGAGGAGTTATAGCTATTCAATGAAGGATCTTTATTTCCAGAATTTATATATTTGAAAGATCTGATTGAGTGTTTTTCTCTTTTTTAATTGTTTTGGGTAGAGGTAGCCTTTCTGGTTGCTTAGTTGGCAACGGATATATTTCCTTTGAAGATCAAACTGTAAAATCATCTCGTACAAAAGGTATGAAGGTCAAATTCGTTTCATAAGAGCATGTATTTTCGAATTCATGTTAATAGATGCCTGCTATAATATCAATTTTTTTTCTTTTTATGATGAATAATAAACTATAAAATATATTATTCAAAATTTAGATTTTGAAGAAATAATCTGGACCTTTTATCACGTCGATTGTGCATCAATTTTCCTTTCTTGCTGTTATTTTTTTGGAGCTCTTGTCCAATAGTAGCCTGTTCATTTTTCTGCTGTCTGTCATATTGTTAATGTTTTCTGACGCGTTTACGCGAATCGTTTTCCTTTTATCTGTTTGGTGATCATAGACAAGTTTTGCAATTTATTTGTTGCTTATCTCTAGACAAAGTTGTATAATATTAGGTTTTTTGTTTTTGTTCATATTCCATTTTTCTTCAATAATTTTAGGAAGCAGCATTCCAAGAAATATATATATAGAACATTACGGTTTAAGTTTTCAGCATTAGAAGCGTAGGAATAATAAGATTATATTAGTATGCACGCTATTTTTGAAAATTATTATTATTTTTAATTTTAATGTAGAAATAGGTATTATCACTCCCATCAGTTCTTTAATAACAATAGGGCTCGTTGCAAATCGGATTGTTTTATGAGATAATTTCTTCTTTAAAATAAAAAAGAAAATTATAAGTTAAAAAAGATGCAAAGCGTATGCACGGCAAACGGACGTGCTCGGACATCCAATAAAAATATGTCATGTCATCTACACTTTTTACTATACTTTGATTGTATTTTACTTGCGCTTTTGACGTGCTTAATTTAAAATAATATTTTATTAATATCCGAACCTATCTTCTGCATCCGGTGACTGGATGCAATAATTTGCTCGTATGCACAACCTCTCGGATTTTAAATGGTTTCCATTGTCGTTTTCAAATTCAGTTTGATAAAATTGCGGCATGAAAAAATTTAGAGAAAAAACGACCATATAATTGATCAAAAGCTTTTAGTTTACACATCTAAAACAAATATATTGAAGAAAAAAAAACTGGCTAATAAACATATTTGCAAATAGTTCGGGATGACGAGATTATTCAAATTAATAAATCTTTATAAATAACGACAAAAAAATTATGATACTTGCATAAATAATCAAGTTTTTTTTAGCGTTAAAGTCAAAAATAAAATAGCAATCTAACTGAATCACTTTAAAGCCTATTCAATATAATCTTTCGAGCTTTTCTTTGAAGCGTACATAACCAGTAAGTACCCCTCCTTAACTGAACCTATTTAGCTCTTTGAGCTTCAGTGGATAATAAACTGAATGAATTGCTCACCATTAATTTAACAAACACAGCAGAATATGATTCAAACAGCTTTACCAAATTGGTGAAACTTTTAGGAAATCTGGCAAAGGAAACGGACCGAGAAAAACCTGATAGGCAGGAAATTCGGAGCAGAATTCTAATATTTCAAAACAAAGCCTCTGCACCTACTGAGATCGTATATACATACCCCAGCATCAAAGGCAAGGCAATATAAATGATGAAAAGATTTCAAAAAAAAAAATCTGGCATTTGCCAAAGCCTTAGTAGTAGACTGTGATTGCTACCTCCACACAATATTTGCCAACTTCACATCAAAGTTTAATTTGGCTAGATGAATGATAACAAGTCATGCTCGGCATTGTTGAAGCCACCAACAGTTTGCATTGTTCTTCAAAGGAGAGCCAACACACGCTGTAATAAACCAGAGATTGTTAACAGGAGAACCTCAATCAACAAGGGCCTTTAACAAATTAAGTACAGCAAATAATTGATGGCAAGTCTCAATGTGATTTGTCGCAAAATAACATTCCAAAATAAAGACTATAACTTTATTAGAATTGTTTGGTGTGCATATTCAAATCAAAGATGCGTTAGTCAAAAGGCATTAGGACCCAAAGCTTTTGCAGAAAATGGAAGTTGAAAAAAAAGTTAGAAAATCCTCATCTATAGTTAGTCAGGATGAATTGTATATTTATAGATGTTTTTTGGGATGAGTACACATTTTAAACAAATTCAATAATTAAAAACTCATCCAAATTAAAAAATAATTAGAATATTCCAACCCCAATTTTCTCCAATGAAATTGGTAGGTACTACGGGTGCAAATGAGCCAAGCCAGCACGAGCTCAACTCTTTAATGAACTCGCAAGTTGAGCTTATTGAGTTTTCGAGCTCGTTTGATTATCGAGCTTAAGTTCAACCGAGATAATGCTCGGCTTGATTACTCTTTAAGCGGCTCAAATGCCAAGGAGAAATTGTGGGCTCGAACGTGGAAGGCAGAACTACGAGGTCGGGCTCGGATGCGAAAGGCAAAACCTCGGGGGCGGGCTCGGACGCGAAAGGAAGAACCACGGGAGCAGGCTCAGATACGAAAGTCTGAAGCATAAGCAGGCCGCAAATGCGAAATCGATACGCCTCACGAGCTGGCTCACGAGCCAACATCCACTGTTGCAAGCCGAGCTCGAGCTTGCCTTTTGAGCTCGACTCGAGTTCAAGCTTGGGATTTGGCTCGCAAGTCGAGCTCGAGTCTGGCATGACTCGAATTCAACTTGACTCGTTTGCGCCTCTAGTTGATACACAAACTCAATATTGGCTATGAACTTTCTCATTTGTTTAATCGATAGAGACAAATATTGATTGATAATTCTACCAGTCAACAAAGTAAATATTACATCGACATTTTCTTTGGTTTTTTCAATTCCCTACAAATTGCAGATTCAATTATGTCTTGCATTTTGGGATGGGGATTGACGTATCGTCTGCTTTTTTTTTTTTTTTAAATCTATAAATTGATAAAGGATTTGTCATCATAAACTAAGTATGAGATAAGAAAAAAGGCATTCCACCATGCTCTGTTTTAGAAAAATGAATTGATGGTTGGTGTAATTCCTTCTAGTCTTCTTCTAGTACAATTAGCGATTGTATATTTTTTAGAAAAATTACCTAATTGTACAAATGTGAGGTATGATTCTTATATTTGATAATATTTTATATTTTTTACTTATGTTATCTAATTTCTAGTAATTGGCTTGATTGCATGATTGAATTTTATTAAATTGATATGATTAATTTAATTGAGTTGGAAATAGTGGGGTGGCGGAGGTATTACCAAATTTTTGCGAGAGAGCATGTCATACCAACTTTTATCGAGAGAGAGCATGTCATACCAACTTTTACTGAATAATTCAACAGCGCAAAAGCATGAACACTTGAGGTACAGAGGTACTGGATATGACCAACATGAGCTCAAAGACATGTGAACATTTGTTATCCCCGAGTTTATAATGCAGTGCATCATCGGACCACCAATTCCTCACTTCACTAATACGCATCTTTGAATTATCAAGACATGACGACAAATGTTGAACTTTTATAAGATCCAAATCCATAAACAATAAAACAAACTACACTACATGTCAGGCTTTAGAATCATCATATATTAAAAAATCTCTGCAGCCAAATAGAAAGCTGACATAACTAACTCAAGACTATGTTGAAAACATGGTATGACAAAAATAATACAAACATGCATGATATTTTCATGATTAGAATGATCTTAAGTATTTAGATAATGTGAATCTATGAGTTAACAGACAAAGCTTACCAAGTATAAGAGGAAAAATATATTAGAAAATCTCATAGAAAACCAAAACAAAATCTAATTCAGAGGCTGTATAGTTGATAAAATTAGCAGAGTAAACAAAAGGATTCATAAAGTCAATTGTTCATACCTTGGACAAAACACAAATTAGAGTAGAAAGACTTTGTCATATCTTCGTTGACATCATAAATTTTGATTTCTTCTCAGCGGGCTTAAGGATTTGAAAGGAACACATTAGGGTTTCATCAACACTCATCATTGCCCCAGCATTATCAAATTCACCACAATAATTTGGTGCTGAGAATACTGTGACAAGCTGTCTATCAGCAAAAAATTCATAACCATCTTCAACAACCTGCAATTTGAAATTAGCTGGATAAAAAGGCAAACAAATGAAGCTTAAAATCTAAACACAAGGTTCTTACCTGATGTGCCCGACAAACAAGGTCCAAGTCATGCTTAACTAGAAATTCAGAAACTTTATCAGCACCAAAAGTATATGAAACCCCCCTATCATTCATTCCCCAACCTTGAACTTCTCTACCAGGATCTGACCAAAGTAGGTCACAGAGTAAACCAGTGTCTGGAACATCAGTTGGACGACTAACACTCTTGATCTGATCCAAGTTAGTTAAATCAGGAGAGAGACCACCATGCATGCACAATATTTTGTCATCTATAAGAGCGGCTACAGGGAGGCAATTGAAGCAATCAGTAAAGACCTTCCATAGGCGCACATTGAATCGGCGCTTACATTCATCATAAAATCCATATATTCTATTTATAGAGGCACATTCATGATTTCCTCGGAGAAGAAAAAAGTTTTCTGGGTATTTGATTTTATAAGCAAGAAGAAGACATATAGTTTCTAAGCTTTGCTTCCCTCGGTCCACATAATCACCTAAAAACAAATAATTGGCCTCAGGTGGAAAGCCTCCATACTCAAAAAGCCTCAAAAGATCACTATACTGCCCATGTATATCACCTGAAAATTGTACAAACACACATCAGATGGTAGTACTAATAACAATATATATTAGAATATAAAGTTAATTCATAAGCTCCAAACTAAAGACATGAGATTTATAGTTAATTGAAAACCAATTTTCAACATTGCTTTAGAGAAAACTATATTGTATTTTTAAGTCCTACATCTCCTCTTTCTCTGCTTATAAATGTGCTCTTACCTGGCGTGTGTTAACCACACAATCTCTTTTTTCCATCTTCTGGGACATTACGTATACTTCTTTTTCAAAAATTGGGAACAACAACACTGCTTATTGGTGGAAAGCTCTTAAGCCTACTTGGGAAAAAATGAGGCAGGATTAGCATTTTAAAGTTTGGCACAGGCGTAACTATTCATTTATTTGGGATCTATGGATAAATGCCAAGTCGTTGGCTGATTTAGAGGACTACTCCTCTATCATTCACTTGCTGAAGTAGGATGATTTTGATTTCATAGCTAATGGGGATTGGAACATTCCTACATTCTTCGCTCTTTACGCCAAGATAGCTATCTATTCTATCCCCATAATCTCTGATGGTAATCCTTCTATTTTGTGGAGCCAGAAAACTAATCCAAGATTAAATCATTTATTCTTTCACTTTATACAAGCCACCAGCCTCCTTCTTGAGCTAAGCAATACTATTGTATTAATTAAGTTTAACATCCCAGTGATGCCTACTTTTGTCCTCTATCACTCTTCTTTTAAAAATGTAAGGCACCTCTTCCTCAAATGTTATTTCTCCTTTCAGGTCATCTCTAGCATTGTACCCTCATGCTCTTCATTTCTGTTGCGGCCTAATTTGTGTCAAATGCTGGATATATTCTGGGCTATGATCACTTACTTGAGGATGTTAAGAATGGATACCTATTGCTTGTTTTTGCCTCTATTTACTTCATTTGGAAGGAACAAAACCTCTTTCCATTATGGTTGAGCAACTTGGTCAGATTCAAGAAAACACTCTCATACAAGTTCAACTTGTTTACACCCCTTTCTATATAGTATCACAAACAAAGGGTGCGATAGGCCTCAAATTCAAGACCTCCAAATTTAACACACAATTTGTAATAACAAAAGAAGAATATGATCTCGTAACAACAAAAAATCTTTTTTTTACATATAAGAAGAGAGATTTTCTTTTTACAAAGACTGTAAGTTGGTTCTAAAAGAAAAATTGATTGCACAATATAGACTAATAGTTATAAATACATATCTAAGAAATATAAAGAAAATGACCAAAATAAATAATTAGAATTTGAAAAGATGAAAACTTATTCAGGAAATGTTGCTGAGGAAGACAATCTAAAATTCTTTATTTGAGTCAAAGCTAATATGGAATTAGATAGTTCTATTGATGCAAGATGAGTTGAGGCTTTTATTTTCTAATGCAAATCGAATGATATAATATTGTAGATCACACAAAGAAAATTATGATTTGCGGATCAAATATCATTAAATACATTGAAAAAAAAAACTCAACATTAGGCGTGACTACAAAGTACAAGAATTAAAACTCACCAAGAAATATTATAATCATCGAATAAATCCAAAGATCTCAACAAGAAATTTGAACAACAAAATTACCGAGCAATTAAAATTTTCAAATAAAATTAAAATTCCAATTGCATCAAGTTTGAATAAAATAAAAAACTTCAGCACGCTAATAACAAGATATTTCAAAGAGTTTAAACAAAGGAAAGAGTTCACCAAAAACAAATCAGGCTCATGAAGGTACAAGGAGATGACTTCCTTCGAATTAGGTAGTCATACTAGTGTTGAACTCGAAGGAATCACACACCTAATATATACATACTATTAATAGTTTATTACATCAAAAGCTAGCTTTACATGGCTCAAGTATTTATAAGCATCTAATTCAAATTTGGCCACTGCTCATTGATTTGATTTAAATTCTAAAATTTAGAGAACTACACAGGTTAAATCCAATAATTCCAAAACAAAATCTATTGCCCTAAATTCATATTGATGGAACATTGCCCCAAAAATTAACGGAATTCAAGATATAAGTATACTTCATTTTGTAACACAAGGCTCTATTTTTGCTATTAAGATAATTCAAACTTGATCCAAAGAGTATTCAAAGGAATAAGCATTGCCCAAAAACTTTTATGAAGCATTGCCGGCTACATCCAAGAAACCATTTAATATTGCAAGAAATGATAAGGACAGTATAAATCAATTATAGGATTCAAAATTTAAAAAAATGACATAGAAACCATCATTAATCAACAAAAATTGAATAATCTGACAACATAACCAAATAAACTGAACCCTAATCAGAAGCAAACAAAAATATAGAATTATCATAATAAAAAAATCCCATTTGTTTACCACCTCGAAAAAAAGAAAAAAATTATTTGAATCCAACAAAGGCCACGCAAGATTGCGCCTAGCTCCCCCAATTGATTATTTTCTATCACATTTCTCTCATTTGTGCGCTCTACTCTCCTAGCAAACCAATCTAAATCCACGCTCCTCTCCATTCTCTTCCTCATCTTTTCCATACTTGTGCCTCTTAGACTTCCTTACAACTCCCTTCCCTATGCTTTCACATACTAATGGCTCCTACACACCCTTTCTCATGCACACTCATATTTTTATTATGCCTGTCCCACTACATCAATCACTTGTGTGACTTCTTCTCCCCAAGGATACAACTCACTCATGTGCTCATCCTAGGTCACCCTATTTCAGCTCACACGCCAACATCTTTCAATGCGTAATGAGCCCAAGCATACCCGCTCCTAGCATGTCTATTAACCTAACACCCACAAAAGCCCTCTAACCATCACCAACAATGTCCATGGGTGTGCTATCCATTCATTTCTTCTCAACAAACATGCTCTTCGTCTCTCCCATTAATACCCTTATTTCCTATAGACAAGATCTCCCACATTTGAAATTTAATAAAGTTAAGCTTGTTGTTGTTCTCCCTCGACAATGCCATTGCACACAAATTGGTAGACCAAAATTCTGAGGAATATATGATATCAATCCAATTAGTTTGAAGGTTTGTTGATATTTGATCTGGCTAATTTGAAAGGCCGTTTATATTTGATCTAGTTAGTTTAAAGGGACATCAATCTCCAATCCAATTAGTTTGAAGGATTGTTGATCTTTAATCTGATTAGTTTGAAGATCGCACCAATGATTTCTAATCGGACCAAAATTTTGAATACCTTAACGTCGTTGATATTTGGACATTTGAAAGCGGCTGTACCCTGGAGCATGCTTTTTGCTGATGATATTCTTCTTCTTTATAAGACTAGAGAGGGAGTTGAAATAAAACTTGAATTATGGCGGTCAACCTAAGAGTAAAGGTTTTCGTTTTAGCAGATCTAAAACCGAATACATGGAGTATAATTTTAATAGTAATAGATCTAGTGGGAGGCTTGTGACGTTGGGCGATCAAGTCATTAAAAAGAGTACACATTTTAGATATCTCAGGTGTATTGTTCAAAGTGATGTTGAAATAGATAGGAAAATTATTAGCATAATTCAAGTTGGATGGTTGTAGTGGAGGAATGCATCGGGCCTATTATTTGATAGAAAGGTCCCCTCAAACTTAGTGAAAATTCTATAAGACGGTGGTGAGACCTGTAATGCTTTATAACGCAGAATGTTGGTCATTAAAAGAGAAGTATAAAATTAAGTTAAATGTTGTAGAGATGAGGCTGCTCAAGTGGATGAGATTTTTTACAATTAGAGACAAAAAGCGAAATGAATATATGCATGTGGAGAAGCTCGAGTGGCAGAAAATATTAGAGAGAGTCGCCTTGGATGGTTTGGTCACAGAAAATGTCGGCCTTTTGATGACCCAATTAGGAGGGTAGATGTATGAGATTTGGCCTATGTTAAGAAAGGTAGAGGTAGACCTAAAAAAACTTGGTTAGAAAGTGCTAGAAATGACTTTTATTTATTAGATTTGAATGAGAATTTGATTCTTAACATGACACAATAGAGAAATAGGATTCATGTTGCCGAACTCACGTAGTGAGATAAAGACTTGATAATGTTCTTGTAGTTGTAGTGTCGTTGATCTTTAATTTGAAAGGGGCTCGAAGACCTTCAAGCCATTGATCTTTGATCCAGCCTAAGTTTTGCCTCCTTTCATTAATAATTGATCTAAATTGAAGAAGATAAATGCGTGCTTTTGATGGCTACTTATACAAAACCTAGTGATAGCTTTGATATCAACATGGTGTGGTGGGTATGACTATCATGTGGCCTAAACCTTGTCGACATACTAAAGACCCCTAAACTAAGGTTGATGATTATCATAATTGAAACCACTAGCAAGAAGGAAAATTCATTGTTGGAATGGTTAGCCTAGTACTTACATTGAAGGATTTAAAATGAAAGGAATATAAATCAAAAAATTTGAAGGACCATTAACCCTATATCCAATTAATATAATGATAATGTCATTGATATTCAATTTGACTAAAACTTTAAATCCTTCACATCGTTGAATTTTGATCCAGTTGACGCTTAAAAAACTGCTATTGATCTTAGAACTCAAAAGAGTTTTGCCTCGTTTTGTTGATCTTTAATCAAGTTTAAAAAAATGAATGCTTGCCTTCAGCAACCATGCTTAACCAATATTCAATGATAACTTTGTTTTCATTAGATAGTGATAGGTATGATTGTCTTGCAGCTTCAATATTGTTAATATACACACATCTAACTGGAGGAAGACAAGTTGATGTCATCATCATTGAAACCAACATTGAGAACGGATGTATGTAAATAGGTTATGTTTGTCCTATAGTACATCAATTACTAAGAAAAAAAAAGGTTACATTTGTCCATGACTAACATTTGAGACCTAAGAAATTTATATATATATATATATATGAATTACAAGATCCATTGTTATTTTTAAGATATTTGAATTTCATAGATGTTAGTCATGAAATTTAGCACCCAAGTACCCTAATGGACCTCGCTAATAGCAATA